GTATGTGTAATATCCAGATGACTTTAATAGTTTTCAAGCTAAATATTTAAGCTTTTGAAACCAAAGTTGTCACAAGTTATAGAATTAAAAGTGCCCAAACCAGGAGCTTCTCAGAGCCCTGAATCATGTGAAGCACTACACATAGGGACCTCATTAAGAGACTAGATTTGATTCTTACCTTTTAAATATTTAAATTTCACCTACAGCTTAAAATTTGCGATACGATTCTAATCTGACATGGTTTTGTAATTAAACGTAACTGATTTCATTCTGATGAGAAAGTTCAATTAATGTTCTGTAGGACCTCCATCTACCCTCATGTTTCCTTTCAACTTCATTTATTTCAGGAAAACTCAAATGATCTGTCATTTGACAACTGGCAGAAACAGCCCATGACAATTTGGGTGTTCCTCCTGCACAAACTTTCACAGTAAGGGTGAGTGCATGTGCGTGGTGCCCAAGAAGAAAAATGACAGACCCCAGCCATTAAGTGATTGTGAAAGGAACTGTGCACTTTGGAAAGGCCAGGTATGGTGGCAGGTGGCAGTGTGTGATGGACACCTGGTCCCATGGCAGCCTCATCCCATGGCTGATCCGTCTGCAGCCTCTCACAATGTTTGCTCTACTCCATCTGAGTGGGAGTCTGCTTCAGCCACAGTGAACTCTGTAGTCTTTGCCACATGTTTCTTTGTCACTACGCATTTTCCAATGTTTGCTTTTGCCTTTTTAAAAAAAATAACATTGGCACTCAAATAAATAAGAAAGGTGTAACAGAATACCAGTGGGAAAATGGGCAAAAGACTTGAACGAGCCAGCCTTAGAGAGAAAATTTTTTTGTTCTTACAACCGTATCAAAAATTTAATTAGCATTTTAATAACTAAAGGAATAAACGTTTAAAAAGACAGCAAAGATATTTACCCATCAAGTTAGCAAAGATATTTAAAAAGATGGGACTATGTTGGCCCATGGTAGATGTTCTAACCCTTGAACTTAACAGGGAAAGAAATGCCATACAGATAGACAGCCAAAACATGTATATATAGATGCATATAGGTTAAAAGTGTAAAATACTGGACAGAAAGAAAAAATTAAAAAATAAAAGAATAGCTAGATAAAGGAAGACATCCATAAGATGAATTATTTTACAGTCACTAAATTGTATTAAAAATACCAATTTCATTTCCTTGGACGACACCAGCAAAGCACTGCTAATTTTTTAAAAGCAAGTATGAAGTTCTACAATATGATTCTAACTCTTAAAAAAAGTCTATTTATGCATAGGAAATGAACTGGTGGTAAACTGCCTAGTATTTTCAATAGCGGTTCTTAAGGCAGTAGAGTAATTGTAAGTACTCAATTACTTACAATTGAGCCAGGCTACACACACGTTAGGAGGTGGGTCTTTACCTCCACTGTGTATCTGAGGAAATGGAGACTCACCTCGTCTTGGTGACCAAGCTAGTAAACGGGGGAGCCAGGACACAAGCTAAGGTCAGCTTGACCCAAAGCTCGTGTCCAGCACATCCATGCCTCCCCACAGGAAATTTCAACTTTGTGTTTTATACATTATTTAATCTGTTCTAGGGGCTCTAATATGAGCATACACTGCTTCTATAATTTGCAAGCAAATCAATAATGTCAATGTTACGCTGAAAACATGCATACTGACCAAGGGACAATTCTAAAAACTACTTCCTTAAAAGAGGTAGGGCTATGGACATGATCTTTAAGATCTCAAACTAGTGTATTTCATAATAAGCATGAACATGCTTTTAAAAATGTAGTCCCAAATCCTAGATGACTTTTGTGAAACAAGTCCATTGTGCAAAACGTATCCACTTAAGAAATACTTATCTAACACCTCCTTCCTGTTGCTAAATATTGTGCTAGCTGTTGGCACAATGGCAGCAACAACAGTCTGAAAGACTTCCTTTGGCCATTAGGAAGGTGTTTGAGGGATAAGTGGAGATGGGAAGAGATAGGGAAAATGAGAGTATCCTCAATCTAGCCCTAAACATTCTGGCTACCTATGTGATTGTTTTATTTTTTTTAAGCTCTCCATAAAAACTTATAATATTTCTTTCTTTTTAATTTTTTTCTTTTAAGGTAGAGCAAAGCTGGAAATCCAGGTTAGCCTGACTCCAGAACTTGAACTCTTCTTTTTTTTTAAGATTTCTATTTATTCATTTATTTTTAGACAGAGGGGAAGGGAAAGAGAGAAACATCAATGTGTGTTTGCCTCTTGCATGCCCCCCACTGGGGACCTGGTCTCCAACCCAGGCATGTGCCCTGACTGGGAATTGAACTGGTGACCCTTTGGTTCACAGGCCAGCCCTCAATCCACTGAGCCACACTCACCAGGGTTGAACCTTATATTTCTGAGAATCCCAGACAGCCCTCTGTCAAACAGTTTTAAGACTGTAAATGCACCCATACTTAAACTCTAACTGTAGTAATCAGATTAAATAAATGCTTTGTAACATCACATAGTGTTCATCTCATCCACTGGGTATACAGTGGCCTGTGCTTCTGTACTTCTGGGAGATGCAGAATCTTCCCTGGTAAGTAGGCGGGGCTGGACTATCAGAAAGAGGATTCTCAGCAGAATGGCATTTGGGAGCATTCCCACCCCTCTGGCTTCCATACTTCTTTGTCCATGCCCACCTTTTACTTTTCTAGAAAAGTCCATATATTTCAGAAAATTAGCTTCTAATATGAAGACCACTGTCTGTCTCTACAAGTGTAGACTACCAGATGAATGCTTTCTTACCTTTTAGTCTGAGTCAGCTACAATTTTTTTAGACTCGAATTTGGAGCTGGCCAATACAGTAAGGTCAAATGAACTCTCCTTGTTAACTCCATTCCAGGAGGACCAAATACCAAGGAATAGCTGAGGAACTGGTGCAAAAAGGGTAGAAATTGGCACAACATCTTATGCGATTTGTTCTGTGAATCAAGTGGCTTTCGTAATGTTTCAGATTACAAATTCGGGATGATGGGTGAATGCCCAGGGTTCTGAGATCCGGTGTCACTGCCGTGGAAAGTGAGCTTATTTCATAAATGGTACCACCCAATACTTTGTAATAACAAACACGCGTTTTTCTCATCTTCAAAAATCGCAAGTAAACTACCCTCCCATAGTTTCTCTCAAAATAGTTTTTAAGATTACAAAAAATAGTGAATAAGTCTACTCCCCCGTGAGTGTGCTAATTACTGTTTTAGTTTATTGCTAACAGAGGAAATAGGTTAATAATAGTAACTCAACTGGAGATCAAACTGCTCATTCCTTTGAATTAATGAGTACAAATCAGCTTTTCGTTAGGTTTTAGGGCTATGATGTATGTATTTTTCATGGATACCTGCTATTACTCCTACAAAGAACTTTAGAAACAAATAGAATTTAAAGTGTTTCCGTTTTCAAAATTGATACACCCAGTGTCTAGCAGCTATGAAACCAGGCGGAAAACATTATTTTCTATTACTACTGTAAAACTTGTTATTCATTTCTTCAATTAGATGATTTTTTAGAAGGAAAAGCAGTGTGTATGAACGCCGGAAATGCAGATGACATCCTGGCTCAGAAATGCTTATTCTAGACGGGGACTAACTGTAAGATTCCTCTTTATTATCCGCGATAGCCATCCCACGATGGAAATAATCTCGCTGTAAAACAATTTAAAAAAAATGAAACAGCTATGGGAAGCTTGCAAAGTTCTCCAGACAAACCTTCCAGTGACTCTTAAAGAAGGAAGCATTTATCAAAGGGTCTCGGAGGTTAGGAAACTATGCCAGGAGCCAGCGGCAGCCTTGCCAGAACTACGGGAACAGCGAGTGTCCGGGGTCCGGATGGAAGCTCGGGGCGCAGGGCGGGTCCCCGCGGGGCGGACTCCCCGCCCCCGCCCGGGCGACCCAGGCTCTGCCTCCAGGAGCCCTGGGACTCCCCAGGATGGCGCGGGCTGCCCGGGACACCCTGCCAGCAACCTCCCGCCAGCGAGGAGCATCTCACCAACCGCGGCCCCGAGGCCAGCTGCGTCCCCCGCATCCTCAAGCCCTCCGACATTTTTCACCGAGACCAGGAGGTAGCAAGCAGGGGAGGAAACCGCGGAGTGTCTGCGCCCAGCCTCTGCCGCAGCACAGGAAGAGCAGAGGAAGAAGGAGGCTGGCGAGGAGGCAGCTATACACTGTGATCCATCGATAATAAAAAGGGTCATCATCACCCACATCCAGGGAGTCTCGAGTGCACCCACCCCGGCAGTGGCTACGGGTTGGGTGGGCGTTCCTCCTCCTCGTCCCCCCGCGGCTGTGAATCCACCCCAAGCCGAGCACACGGGAGCGGCTTTTCCTTCGACTAAAAGAAGGGGAAGGAACAAAAGAGACCCCCACCCCCTACCCACAAGGACACCTCGGAAGCCAAAGGTATGCAGTTTTGCAATACTGTTCTTACACCTTCCCCACCTGAAATAATGCATTTTACCAAAGATAAAGAAAAAAAAAAAAAGATCACCGCCCGAGGTGATCGGTAGATTGAACACTGGAAATTTCACGTTCGGTTTTCCAACAACCAAGCAGGAAAATCCCGCAGGACCTCGCGCCCCCCGCGGGGTCTCCGCCGCCCCCAGCGCAGCCCTCCCTGCCAGTCACCCGAAGTCGCCCGGCTCCCCTCTAGGGACCCGATCAGGGGATCCCCGGGCGGGCAGAACACGCTCCCAGTCGCCCCGCAACACCCGGGGCCGGCGAGCGGATCGAGCCGAGGCAGCAACGCGGGATTCAACTTCCCAAACCTGCGGCACGGCCCCGGCTCCCAGCGCGGGCGCCGCGGGCGGCGCCGAGACCCCAGCACCGCAGCCTCCCCCACCTGGGCATTGGCAGTTGCACTCTCCGCCCCCTCTTGCCTTCATCTCCCTCCTCCACCACCTTTAAAAAATTCATCCATTGGTGCAAAGCAGACATTTTGCTGTCATTTACTTGGCACCACTCGGTTTCAGTGGCAACATCTTACCCAGGAGCCTGGAGGTGTGGGCAGCGCACGGACAGGTCCGGGGGCGCTAGGCTGGGCTGCTCGGTCCTCTAGCGGAGCCTGTTCGCTGCCATCCGTCCAACTTCAGCACCCGGCGGGCGAGGAGAGAGGGAGAGAGGCGAGGATGCAGGGGAGGCGGGGGGACCGGGGAGCGGTGGGCGGGGAGGGAGCCGGAGCCGCTCGGCTGCGCGCATGCGTCTCCTGGGCGGGCTCAGCTCCTCGCGGAGCCGGGTCTCCGGTGCGGCTTCTTCCCCTCCGGCGCTGGGCCGCTGGAATCTCAGCCCCGCCCCTCTCCGCTGGCCCGGCCCCCGCGCGCCAGTGTCCCGCGCCCACGGTGCGGGGAGTCTCCCGTGGGGCTTCGGGCTCCGGAGACTCGGGTCCGGAGCTTCGCGGAGCCTTGGGAACCAGGGAGTCTTTCTTGATTAGAGGCCCTGACCCCAGGCTCCTCCAAGTTCAAGTTCACCTGCAGCCGGAGTTTTATTTTATCCAGCCCGTTAGGAGAATTCCGGAAACCAGAGGACGTCTTTCGGGGACCAAACAGCACTGCTGCAGCGGGGTCCAGAGGGTGGGGGTTGGGTTCAAGAGTGTGTGAAGTTAAACGAGTCTTGCATACCAAAGGCTCGACCTTATGAAGAGTTCCTTACTTTGTTGACGGTCCTAACCCAGAAATCTGACCATTTTCCCTAAGAATTAATTTAGGTGCCCTCTGGCCTGGGGCATATGTTCGGTTTCAGGCGTCTGGACCACTGGAGACAGAGTTTGGAGCGAGAGAGCCACGATAAGCCACGTCTTGAATTATTGAGAGAGGGGTTGATGCTTGGGAGCATCCTTTAGGGACGGAGGGCTCAGCAGCTATCACATCTGATAACTGTTGTATTCACAAGCGGAGCCCAGCTTGGTAGTGAAGGCGCTTTGGATACTTAATGCATCCTGAGCGCTGGATTGCGTCCCCATGATTAGACTGAAGTGTTTGTGAGAGTGAATTACGGAAGCGGGTGTGTTTCTTCAGATGTGTCATCTGTGGGAAGAGGAGCGAGTTCCTGGTAGGAATGATGAGGCTTTTTTCTTATATCTATTTGAAACTGATCACTCATAAATACATATGATTATCCCTCCTCGCTTGTGAGCTCATCCGTTCAGTGCCGGGATTGCTTCAGACTCACAGCCCTCTGCACGCCCCCACCCTTGAGGTAAACATATCCCAGGGTTGGCTGCAGCGCCCCCTTTCTCTAGTTCCATTATGAGGGCTGTTGCTCTTCGAAGTGTGTTTCCCGGACTGGCTTTGGTCTGTCGACTGTTTCTCATTGGTTTGTATGAAACAAGAGATAAGTACAGAAATGGAGAGTAAGATTTAGAAACTTGTATCGTGATTTGGTATTGCCTCGGCCACAAAGCACATCAGTCCACTATACTTTGTATGCTTTATTTTGTTTGTAAAATAATTCATTTTTGTTGTGTTTTACAAAAGTATTGCTTCAATGTGCATTAAAAATAAAAATCCTTCACCAAACATCGTTCGAGCAGCGCTGAATCGACGAAATTCCCAGATTTGTATCTTCTGTCCTGATCTCTCACAGAATCCTTCAGGTCCTTAATACCTTTGCAACTGCATTTGAAGGGTGATTATAATAGTTCATGATTAGTGAACGAGTACTGTGTGCTAGGTATTGATCTCGCTGTTTGCATATGTTTCTTATTTCCTCCACAAGGTAGATACTATTGCTGTGTTTGACAGACATTTCAGAAGCAGAACACCAGATAGCTACCCTCTCCAAACTTGCTCCACCTGGATTGGATGGTCAAGTCAAAAATTTAGAAGTCATCCTTGATTTGTCTCTCTTTTTATAAATTTATTTCCCAATGACAGTTGATACAGAGTGTAATATTAATTTCAGGTGTACAACACAGGAATTCTTAATTTTGTCCCCTTATTTTACCCCCACATCCACTTAGTTAGTGACTCACGTTGTCCCCTCCTCCAAAATACATCCTCAATTCATCTACTTCTCTCCCTCTCCATGGCTATAATCATGATCCAAGAACCTCTGCATGTCTCACCTGAACTACTACAAAAGCTTTCAGCTGGTTTCTCCTCCACGGCCCCAAAACAGTTTTTTTAAACAACAGTTGAGTGCTCCTTTAAAAACACAACTGAGCTTGGCTGGTGTAGCTCAGTAGATTGGGTACTGGCCTGTGAACCAAAGGGCTGCCAGTTCGAACCCCAGTCAGGGCCCATGCTTGGGTTGCAAGACAGGTCCTCAGCACAGGGTGTGTGAGAGGCAGCCATGCGCTGATGTCTCTCTCTCTCTTTCTTCCTCCCCCCCACTCTAAAAATAAATAAATAAAGTCTTTATAAGTAAACATAACCAGATCATATCATGCTTCTGTTTAAAACTCTCCAGTGAGTTTTTATTTTAAAGATTTTATTTATTTTTAGAGAAAGGGAGAGGGAGGGAGAAAGAGAGGGAGAGAAACATCGATGGAAGAGAGAAACATTGCATGGACCCAGCGGCCTTTTGCTTTTCAGATCTTCATTGCACTTGCAGTGTAACCGTTAATCCTAACCACAGCCTAGAAGGTTCTATACAGTCTTTTCCTAGCTTTTCCCATGCTCCCATAGACTCTAGGTATGTGTGCTGTAGCCACATTGGCCTATTTCTTTTACGTTCTTGAGTAAGTCTAGCTTATACTTGCTGTTTTTTCTGTTTGGAATCCTCTGCGCCTCGATCTCTCCATTGTAGCTCATAGGTCTCGCTCAGGTGTCTCCCAGTCAGGCTTTTATGTAGCTGCCCAGTCTGCTCTGCCCCAGAGTTTTCTTCTGTTGGGCCCCCTTGCTTTATTTTCTTCAAGATACTTCTCACTATCTGAATCGGCGTATGTCTGTTTACTTGTTTATTATTTCCTCGTCCCCCTCTGGAACTAAGTGTCTTAAGAGCTTTCCCTGCACTTTTCACTTTGATTTCTAGTGCCCAGGACAAGATTTGGCATCAGAACACAGTGCATTCCCAGTGAGCATTTAGTGAATGAATGAATAAATGAATGAATGAAAACCCACTCAGAGAAATCACTTATTATTTCTTCTGATGCTTCTTCACCTTGGAGCCCCGATGCCGCCTGTTGGAACCTGTTGTTTCTCAGAAGCTCACAGTGGGACCACACTGTTTCCTCTCCCACTCTGCAGAGGTGGCTTCATACAATGACACACAATTCAGCCACATGTCAGACTAGTGTTCCTACAACGACCTTTCAAACAAGCATACCTGGTGTAAAGCACACTTCTGTGAACTTCCCCAGATTGTCATAAAGCCGTTTGGGTAAATTTTTGCACCTAGGACAACTTGGCTACTCTGCCAGTAATTTACTTGCTGAGGTCAAATATAACCTTTCGGTGACTTTCATACTTTGTCCTGTAATCCTTTTAGTGTTAGCCAGAATCTTCAATGACAGTGTCCTGGGAACTAAACGCATTACCTGTGATCTCAGCGATGAACAGGTGGGTGGAATCGATTACAGCCTGAAGGACTTCTGCCTCATACGGTCTCAGCACTTACAGTCCCTATATACCTGGATCTCATGGCACATTTGCAACACGAATGACACCCAACAATGACTATGTCAATAATTCAAGTCAATAAACTTCATTAATGTCTACTATATGCCTGGTATTATGTCTTCAAGCTTTTGGCAAAAAAAATACGTGTTATATAAAATCATTATATATGACTCAGAAGTAGGTGTTCATTCATTTTAGCTGTGCCATGCCTTCTTGGTGCAGAATTTCAGAACTCAGTGGGCTTCGCATCCAACAACAGCTGCTTGAGAACCATGAAGAGCAGCATCTGGTCATGATCATTTCCATGCCATTATGAACATGTTTTTGAAGTAAAGGAAAGCAGCAGATTTCGGTATAATGATTCCATAGTAGGGCACTCAGGAGATTTGTAGGCAAGATATTTGCAGATGGAAGATATTAGAAAAGGACAGAGCCATCAAAATACTTACAGTACATTTACACGTAATTCAGGATATTTGTCAACATCAGGAGGCCTGGAATTTACTTAGTGAGTTTGGTAACCTTGAACGTTATTTCAGGAAGAAATTATATGGTCTTTTTACGTTTCATTTTTTCCTTTCCTCACATGCTCTTATTTTTAAATCAACCTTTGAAAAGCAAAGGGATAAGGAAAAATTTTGCTTGAATCTAGGAACTGACCGCTTCATCCAAGCAAATTTCTCCAAAGTGAAGCGCGGAGGGAGGAATAATATAAGAATGCTTAATCACACTTTTTCTTTACTTTTAGTAAAAAGGGCTCATCATGTTTCTTCAACTGGTTTGAATATAAGCTCAGAGACAGGTATTTCTCAGGGGACATACTTAGGTGAAAAATGCTTGTGTTTCTTCATCAATGTTTGAGGCAGATAAGAGAAAGGGGAGACAGAAGAGGTAACCTATCTCCCAAAGATATAAAATAAGATATACAATTTCATATTTTTATATGTATTTTACTTTTAATAAATCATTAGTTATTAATGTTCTCTTAATTGTTTAACATAGCAGCATTGAACTTTAAAAGCTCAATATCATTCATATCTCCACATAATTGGATGAATCTATGGAAGTTGATGTGAACAACTTTATGTTATTTTTATTGGTTATGTACAATTTTGTACATGAGTATCGTACATTCTCCCAATGACTGGACAATATACACATGGTTTTGTATCAGACTAAGTACTTTACAAAATGATTATTACATGGATCCTGCATATTCCATTCTGTTTTTTTTTTAAAACAGATCTATCACATAATCTGGGGCAATAATCCTCTGCTCCTCCTTGGAAAACATCATACTGTTTATCTTAGCTGGAGAACACAATGTTCCATTATTACAGCCAGTCTTTGTGGATGGGGAACATTTCAGAATTTAAGGGTCCATGTTGTATTACCTTGAGATCATTGAAAGTTTCTGGATGAGAGCAGCTGGGTTGGAAAACAGGCTTCTGCTTTGCCAGACTCACATCCAGGGTGACAGAAAAATCAGATCTATATTCACATTGCAAAAGGGGTGTTAAAGGTTGTTTGGGTTTTTTTTGTTTGCTTGTTTGCTTGTATTTTTATTTACATTTTATACTTT